TCCTATTGATGGGGATCTATGGAGGGTTGATGGCCCAGTGTCCATCGCGCTGTGATGATTGGCACCACATGCATTGAGTTGTGTTGCATCTTGCATCTATGAGTCTTTTTGTATGAATTATGACGTTGTGGCCTTTGAGGCATTTTGAGAAAATATGAACATGTTGAAAATAAGTAATATGTCGTTTATGCATTAATTGTTATACATTGATTATTATTATTAATTATTTTACTCACCCTGCCTGTTTGAATGTTACCTCCACGTGGGTAACGTGCAGATGATCCAATTTAGCCGTGGATACCGTCGAGGAGTCTTTTGAAGTTTTTAGAGTAGTTAGCCTTTATGGTTAACTTAGATGGTCTTGCTCTGATATGTAACACCGGTTGGGTTCTTTGAGTTGATTTTATATTGTTGAAGTTATTTTGATTAATTTCCCTTTTTGAGGAAAAACTTTGAGTTATGCTTTGAATTCCGCTGCTTTGTGCAAATTGATGTATTTTGAGAAAACCCGTGTGTTACGGAGCATTGACTTATTTTGAGACATTGAGAGATGTACGTCCTTTTGTGGATTTTTATGAAAGTTAATATTTTACTCTAAAATCCGTGTTATTTTTCCTTGATAATCGTGGGGTAGAAAAGGGTGTTACAGAAGGTGCAAAGGGCCATACTTAATGCCTCACAACACTTTTCACATCTTTGATTCATGAATATTAATGATATGTACCACAACATGGATATTGAAATAGTTTAAGCCATAATTTATTGTATATCTTATCACATGGACAACCATATATGTTCATAACCTCTATAATCTGCTGACTTAACATGTTGGGATAATTCAAATTGTAGGCAATGAATTTTTTGCTGGCTTATTGCTGCTTTTGATGCCGGAAGAAAATGCCTTTTGGTAGGTCTCAATAAAGCTTCCTTAGATTTCTAGAGTATATACTCAGTATTTTCACTTCTTCAATGTAGCTTCATAATTTTAAATGTTCCTGTATTTGTTGAGCTTTACTGTCATGAAGGAATGTGATAGAAACCTGGTATTTATAGTGAGTGAATTAAAGAAAAGAAAATAGAAATGATAGAACAATTCTCTGTAGAATTTGTCTTAAAAAACAGTTTATATTTTAATATAGAATTAACACATTTGATTCCACTGGTGCAATATATAATGTAAGTATGGTCCTTAGTATCATATTTGTATTTGACTATGGATTGAGCTTTGCAATTGTCACTGCCACCGTTTCTCAAGTTTTCCTCTTCCACGGAAAGTATGTTTCCTTGTATTCCACATTCTTTGATTACGTATTATTGATGCGATTTTATAATTAACCATCTAACTATATATATTTTGGTGGTTGTGAATTTGAAAGAGAGATTCTTTTGATGTGGAGGAAGACAACGGTTGCACTAAAAGAACAAGTCGGAGACTTGCATACAAGAATCATGAAGAAAAACTACGCACAAGTCCTTGACTGGTGGTTCATGACAAATTTAGTCCTTATGATTATTTTGGCATTGGTATGTCGTGAAGGCTTTGACAAGAAGCTCTAACTTCCATGGTGGAGATTCTTACTTTCCTTAGTAATTGCATTGGTTTTCACTTTGACAATGGACTGATAATCTTATATTTGGTGGAAAAAAGAACTGAATCAAATTGCACTTCCAGTGTACGATTAAACTGAATATCTGAAAGTTTATCAATGCCAGGTTATTTTGTTATTTTTTGTTACAAGCTCCTTGATATCAACAACAATATGGTTTTGATGCAGTTTTTGGTTATGGCCTTTGTGCAACACTTTTGACAGTTCATGGAAACCTTCATCACAATCTTCTTCATTTATTGATTGGATGTAATGGGTTTATTTCAGGTGATTTTGGATGAAGCAATTGTTAAACTAACTCCAAATTTCTTTTGGTTGGGTGGTGGTGAGGTTGATCTGAAGCTAGGAATCCAAACGTCCCAATTAATCAGATTTATCAACCCATTCATCATCAACTGCAGTAATAGTTAATTTTGTTGGTTATAATAGGATTAAGGATAAATCAAGGTTACATGGGTAGGTGTCATTTTCAGCTTTCCGCTATTTACTCTTTTTGCAGATTTTGATGAAAGGATTTTAAAATAGTAACAAAAAGAGGAAGAAAGAAAAAATTGCGTCGCGAAAAGACAAATGAAAAGGTCTGAAATGTGCATATTAAATTTTTGAATTTTTAATTATTACAAATGCAAAATTTTGGAAAAATCCTTTTACTCTCCCCCATTTCTGTCTAACTTTGTACTCTCTATTACTTAACTGTTAATGAATTCATCTCTCTTTCTAAAAACTATTTCTAATGACATTTTAACAAGTCAAGATTCCTTTTTTCACAAAGCAGCAACCAACTGATTTTTAATTTTGTATTCAGAAGATAGAGGTAGTAAAAGAACTATAAACCGATCTTGATATTGCTTCCTTGATGGGTTTTGGAGATTTTTGGTCATCCAACAAAAAGTTACATTCTTCTGCATGTAGGATGAGCTGTTGTGTATGAGATTTTGAACAATTTTGGGCAGCTGAATCTAACAACTGATTGCTTAGTTCTAGATTGCTTAAGAATGAATCTATGGTCAAATGAAAAATAGTAGGATCAAACGGTATGAAAGTTGGACCATAGTGTTATATTCATTCACAAGATTCCTTTGTTTATTGCATATTTCTTCTGATGCCTAACATGATACATCATATAAGTTTGAAACATGTATTCTCTGTGATTTGACAACATGCCATGGCTATATTAATCCATTATGAACATTTGATGCAATTCTATATTGGGGTAAATTCTTTGGGATGGTGAGTCTCTTTTGATCGACGAAGATCACTAATAAGGATTTTCTAGACAATATTTAGTTAATGTAATGTAACGTAACAGTTTTATGTTTGTAGCCAAAAAATAAGAGATTCATCCTATGAAGTTTGTTAATATTGTCAAATAACTCAAAATTTGATGTATTTGATCTTTTTATTCCATACAAACTTACGGTAAAATTGTATATTACTCTATTGCTCTAAAAACTGAATCATGTATAAATATTACTTTAAAAAATTAAAAGCCTAAAATCTTGATTATGTATTTCAACATTTTCACTATAATGTTTAAAATGTGATTGAAATACTTCATAAAGTTACACGAGATATCATCGGTTAGATTCAAATAAAATAAAAATCTGCATAAATATTACTCTTAATATGCATTTGAATATATTTTTTTTTTTGTAAAATTTAAATTTGATAAGATTATATTTTTTTCTCATACTCATGCGAGAGAGCACAGGTCTTCTACTAGTAGAGAAAGAAAGATTATATTTTTTTCTCATACTCATGCGAGAGCACAAAGAAAGAAAGAGAGAGATGTTTTTAAGTAGGAAAGAAGTTTTAAGAAATTGAATGACACGAGTTTGATAGATAAGGAAAAAATAGAGAGAGAGAATGTTTTACAATAGAAAAGAAGTTTTGAGAAATTGGATGAAGTGTGAATTGTCAAATAGGAGGTTTGAGAGAATTTTAATTATAACATTTATTTATTGCAACAATCTTAAAAGACTTTAATCTTGAGAGACGGAAGGAGTAAAAACTAGTTAAACTTTATTAATGAAATAAAATCTATATATTTATTTATGTTATATTGTCGGAAATTTATGACACAAATTGTAGTAATGGGTCAAATTCAGACAGAAATAAAAATTAAAGACTCAAAACTTCACAAACAAAACAAATAAAAAAAGTTTGATAAACTGATAAGTGACAACATATAAAATAAAATAAAAAAAATCCTGAGATACAGCACAGTATACCATGAACAGAAAACCAACATATTAACTACATCAAGAAGTCCACAGTTTTACAGAACCAGAACCAGTTTCAAGGCAGGTGGATGCAATGATTTCCTGCAAAAAGAATAACAAAAGGCAAAAAATGCAAAGAAAATGCACAGTTTTGAAAACACATTCCCAAGGCAAAAAAAAACAACAATGTTTCAATCTTGGGAGGTCGAGTTACCACTATTTGATGGTGAAGATCCTGTCGGTTGGATCAGGCAAGCTGAGACGTATATTGAAGTGCAGGCATTTTTGTATGTTGTTCAAACTTCAAACACTGATAATGCAATATAGCTCACAATCATATATGTCTAACTTTCTTATCTTGTATTTAAAAAAATTCAGATAGGAAATGCTTGGTTTGATGATGCTACAAGTTTAAAAGGGCTATTTGATTACTTTTGGACTCATGCTTTGAATTCAAATCAAACTCATGAGTTGATTGACAAGTACTGTGACTTCACTACTGAAAATGTTTCAGCAATATGTATGAATGCAACCACAAAGACCTTAATAGAGAAAGAAAGCATATATTTCTATAACATCTATACTCCAGTGTCATGATTCTTCTCTCAAAAATGGTTCAACTAGTTATGTATGTAACGAGTTTGATCCTTTTGGCTACTCTGTGGGTGGTTCTGGGTCAGGTGTTGAGGATACTAACAGGTCAGGTTATAACCCGGGCAGAACTTGTGGGAATTTTGTTAGTTGGCATATAGGGATGGCAGGGTCAAAATAGTGGAAACCCCAATTGAAATTCCACCCCCAAATTCTGAAATTCTGATAAGATAAACTCGAAAAGAGAATTTCTCTGGTTTAGGAGCCTAACTCTGGTTTATTATTTCTTCATTTTCACCATTGTAGAGCCTTGAGATCGCTCACCAATTTCCAGTCAATAATATACAGATTCTTTTCTTGATTTTCCTGGTTATATGTATAGTATATAATAAATAACAATGAAATATTTGAATAGTTTACTAGCTAATACAAAGACATGAGCATGAATCATATCAAGCTAGTGAAATACAAGTTGATAAGATTGGTTACCAATTTAAAGTCTATAAGAAAATTGATTTATCTAGAGTAGAGTAGAACATAAAAGAAATTAAACATGTAAGCATTACCATGATGTGTGTTGTTAGGTTTTAATGGAACAAGACTCAACCACAGGGGAAGGCTCCCTGTCCAGGACCCGGACCCGGGCTTGAAAAGTTGTAGCAGGGTAGTTTTGAACTCCATCATCATGTATAGGTTTTGCTTTTGCTTGAAAGGTAATGTAATAAGTAGTACGAGGAATAAACTGCATGGTTGCCTTGATAACATGTTGAAACTCATAGTTTAAAACCTGATTGTCACGGTTGTACTTGTCCAATGCAAGTTCTGAGAGGTAAACGAATTGCGGGCGACGATCATCGGTAATGGTAACGGGTCGGGGAAAGTTAGTGCCACATATAATTCCAAAGGATGGAACATCGGTAACATCAAAGGGACTTATGTTACGAGATCTCTCCCGATAATCAGCAAGGGCCTTTTTACCATCCTCTCTTAGTTTTTTCGCGGCTTTATTCTCATAAGAAAATTTGGGACAGCTATACGCAAAAGCATAAGGGTCATCTTCAAAACGACTAGAGAGGTCGCTAACCGTCAGATCTTCTAACGGGATCGATTCCCAACCCCACGCCCTGTCCCATTCCTTTTCGATTTCACGTTCCGTTTCCGAATCCGTTTCCGATTCCGGTTCCGGTTCCGGTTCCGACTCTGATTCTTGTTCCGGTTCAGTTTTCGGTTCTTGATCTGATTTCAGCCGCTTCCCTCTTTCGTCGCAGCTTTCAGGGGGCGGTCGTACGACGCCGAGCGAGAAATTATCCATCGACGTTAGAATGAATAACAACAAAATTCCACTGATCTTCTTAATCGAACCCTAGTTAGTTGCGATTTTGAATTTGATTTATTTTTATTGGCCTCGCAGCATTTACGACCCGACCCATAACAAACCCTAGTTAGTTAGAATTTAGAATTACTGGATTCATTTCATCATCACATACGAAATTATAAATTCATAAATAATAAATTAATTTTAAGAAACTAAATATTTTAGAGAGGTAAAATAATTTAATAATAATATTTTAATATATTTATGAGTTTTTATTGAACTTAATCATTTGTTTGTGAATTTTTAGTGGTTATTACTAATTCTAAAAACTCAATAATAACAATAATAATAATAGATTTAAACCATTTAATAATTATTTATTAATTTTATTTTATAAAAAATAACCACATTTTAGTAAACTAGATGATAGGTATGTTCCTTAGACGGATTAGTAAACTGGACTGTGATATATGGACTATTTGTTTATATGGATAATACATATGGAGGTTCAAAATAAAAATCAAACAAAATATTTAAAAAAATGAGAGCCTCGGCGCATGAATTTGTTCACATATTTCATTCCTTTCATTCTGACGAATTGTTATAACTTCTGTAGGAATATAAGTTATTTTAACAACACTTTCAGTAGTATTAACATGTTGTAGTACCCCTAGCGCGAAGTCGTTCAATTCGAAGATCAGATTCGTTAATCTGTACATTTGAAGATTGATCATGAAGGTTTGGAATGACTGCTACAACAACAAATGAAGTATGTCGGTGCTTACTGTCATATTTTTGGATTCACATTTGACCAATTTTATTGCAAAACATAAATGTTCCTTAATATTTCAATTGTCTCTTTGCTATTGTGTTGATCAACTTTTCTTATATTTTGTCCATTTCATATGTGCAAGTTAACAAACAATGGCGGTCCTCTCCTTTCTATAGTCTGCTTAGCTTCGCTCTTTGTTGCTTCAGCCTAGAATATCAGAAGGAAATAAACTTTTTACTCTATACATTTGAACCATAATGATTTCATATACATTTTAATGTTAAAGTAAGATTTCCTTTAAGTATTTCTTGTCTCTCATTTGATGGTGGTTCTCCAGTATGTACAAAATATTACCTAGATAAATAAGAAGTTATGGACCATTTCTTTTTTGCAGGAATTGAAAGAGAGATATCTTCTCTTTAGATTGAGGTAAAGAGTGCTAACAAAGATATTCTTAGTGATTTTACCCTATTTCATATTTTCTTTTAGTGTTTCATTGCCTTGTGTACTACAGGAAAAGAAGTTGGTGGTGGAGATTAAAAGAGAAGAAAAAAGTGGAAATAAGGTACGTATATTTCTCATCAACTTGTATCTAATTCATTTCCTTAGTTTTAATGAGCATATGATTTAGTGGTTATGTCTTGCATAAGTATTAATGATATAATATTCAGATAAATATTTGCAAGGAACACATGTGTGCTAAATAATTTTTTTCAAGAGGGCTAATTTTTTGCAGAGAGCATATGATATTTATTAAGTTAATTGAACTAAAGATGATATAAAATTATATAGAATTCTGAGCAAAAGCATTCTCCTGCTCAAGATGTTGTTATTCGCGTTCATGGTCGACTCACAAAGATTGGATTTGAGCAGAGTAATGCAGTTGTTGCTAGGCTCCTTATGCGTTCACCACAAGTAGGGTGCCTCTTGGGCAAGGGAGGCCACGTTATTTCAAAAATGCGAAGAGCTATAGGTGCCAGTATACACATCTCTTCGAAGAAACATATTAAGTTCATTTCTCACAACGGAGAAGTTGTGCAAGTAATTTGCATAATTAAGTACATTTATTTTTTATGCTATGTAAATAAAAACTCGAAGGTGTGTTTTTAGGAAATATAATAAAGGATAATGTTGCATCATGGGTTCTGCCCAACTTCAGCTACTATCAATGCGCTTCTTCCAGCTTGTGCTTCTACATCAAGAGTGAGGTTTGAGATTCATCGACAAAACATACATAAACCACATAATAAAAAATTAAATCATTTGATAGCAGCAAAAATTATAACATACTTGGCATCAAAAGCCTCAACAACATTATTAGTTTGAAAATTGGTTCAACATCAAAATAAATGAGAGAATATGCAACATAATCACAATAAAAGAACAACATATTCCTCTTGTGATACATATCAGAGAGACTTTAACTATACGACTCGAACGAAAGCAACTTAAGAGGCACAACATTATCCTCAACATCAAGTTCCAACTGAGGTACATGATTGTTTGCACTCCAGAGGAACACAGATGCAACAACACAAAAGGGGAGGTGAGAATACATTCAAATAATAATCAGTACACAAAACACTCAGGGTAAATTCACATGTCACAAATCATACACATATTAAACATACACCACAATAAAACGTATTCACTTTTTTACCTACATCACAGTTAAACTCACATAATCACATACAAAAGTATTGAACAACACTCAAACATCTCATTTGCACAATATTTATGTAATGCAATGCAACATTGACTCAACTCGTGCATGTGATATTGTTAGCTGGAGTTTTTGACAAGGGTATAAATCTCAGCTAAGGACAGAGGTGAAGGTACATTGATGATGTGTACTAAGGATTCTTGGTTTGACTAGATTCAGGGCTTAAGCTTTTTGAGATGTTATAGAGATATCTTGACTGCATGGTAGTTTTTGACGACATCTAATGGGTCAAAAGGCGTTTATTTGGGTGCACAACTATTACGTTCAAACATGATTAATTACTTGTGGGTTTCTTTCTGAAGAACGCGTGGAAGGAGCACATAGGCAGCTGCATGCAAAGCTTCATGTGGTGAACTTTGAAGATAGGAACGTTAGAAATAGTTATTTTCGTACTTGTATATATTGGAGTTTATTATGTAGAATTCAGTGTGTTCATTTTATTGCAGAAATCTCACACAAAACTTAAAGTATCAGCGTCCGGAGAAAAAAATCATGACTGAGTGAATGTATGAACAATGAATCGCCATTTTTTACTTTCAACACAAAGTCTTTAAGTTTCCTTTTGCTCTTACTTTGTTTCATCAATTTACTTTCAATTTTGTTTAATTTTCATCACTTTACACTTTCAGTCTTGATCATTTTCTTGTACATTTACAAATCAGTCGTAGACGACATTTTTTTACATCTTTTTAGTCACACATAACATTACTTCGACTAATTCAAAGATAGGAAGTTTATTAATAAAGAATTAAAACGAGGTTCTTGACACTATGTCCTAGGATTCACTAGTTGATCCTGCAAGTAACCTTTAATTAAGAGACTAGCAGTTGATTACCATTTTTTCGCATAAATAAATTGGCACACTTAGTGGGACATGTGCTAAGTCTCATATCTTTTTATAAATATTCTTATTTTTTCTCTTTTTAAAAATGTGTTCTATGTTCATGAGTTTTTTTGGGTAGTTTGTATGCAATTAAGGAGTGGAAAGGCTCTATCCAAAATGTTGCTTCCTCTCATAGATAATGTCAATCCCCAGAATAGTCCTCAAAATGTAGTGCAATAACCAGTTGTGTCGACGACTGAGGAGCCAGTTCTCTCAACATTGGTTAGGACAACTGCTCCAATAGTGTCGACGGTGCCAGTTGCAATGATACCATCGCAAAGGGAGACACCCTCACCGCAACCAGGGAATCCACTTACTAACCCTGCAATTGTGAGACCTTTATTTGGGTTTTCGATACCACCAACTAGCGGAGATTACCCATGGTATGCCAATGTTTATGATGACTAACCTTCAATCAAATATGTCAACCTTTAATGACAACACAGTGGCCACAACGCCATTATACAATCCTTATAATGCTTTAGTGTTAACCATCAACAATGTGGCACAACTAGGAGGGATAAATTACATCCCCCAAAATACGTCATCTTTAAATACAACATCTATGATGGCTATGAGGAAAAAAAATAGACGAGAGTAATTTAGAGTTAGTTAATACTCCAACAATTCGAAACCATTTTAAACTTGTTGATTGCAAATATGAATCAAACCTATGAAGTATTAGCAAATCAAATGGAGTGTATTGTTGATTTCTTTGGCACACCTAAAATGTAACACCCCCTCCCCCCCCCCCCCCCCCTAAAAAAAAAAGATGAAGAGGGGGAACAAATAGAACAAAATAACCCTAGTCCTTTGATTAACCAAAGGAATCATAATGTTGACCAAGTGCTTAGATATGTCCAACAACAAAAATTTGGGGGGCAGAATAATATAGAAAATATGGTCGAACAAATTTTGGCCTGGAATTACCTCAGTATGGGACTCCAAAAACCAAATTTTATATCTCCTCTCTAAAAATATATGTAATGGACAGAGTTACCCAAGGGATGGAAAATGTCAAAGTTTACCAAGTTCGCTGGAGACACCAATGAGTCAACAGTAGAACATGTCGCCCGATATCAAACCGAGGCTGGAGACATAGCCAACAATGAGAATTTGAAAAATAAAATACTTCCCAAATTCTCTAACGAAGAATTCATTTACATGGTTCACAACTCTTCCTCTATATTCTGTCTGATCGTGGAGTCAGTTAGAGAGATTATTCGATGTACAATTTTATATGGGACAGACATAAATTAGTTAAAAAGAGTTGGCAAGTGTTAGATGAAAAGACCCTGAGTCGATAAATGACTATTTGAATAGGTTTTGAATTCTCGAGGCAAGAGGTTTCATCAAAGTTTCTGAACACGAGTTAGTCGAGCTGGCCGCTGGTGGTATAGACTATTCAATTAGGACAAAAAATTAGATACTCAATACCTTTGGGACATGTCATAACTGGTAGATTGGGTTCGCCAAGTTGAACGCCTAAAAGCTGAAAAAGCCATAACAAATAAATATCACAAAAAGGAGAAAGTCACTTACATAGAGGTAGATGATTACATCTATGACGTAGGCGACGATTGTTTTGAAGAGGGCGGTGCCAACGTGGCTGAAATTAA